ATCCCAAGATGGCCAGGCTTGGCACCAGGTCCCACAATGCCTCATTCTTGCAATTGAACTTACCTCTGATGCAGTGGATGCTGGGATGCTTCAATCTGCTCCAGATGTTGGTCTGAATCTTACAAAAGCTATCTAAGGTGATGAATCTCATATTCAAATTAAATTCAGTACCTTGGAGAGCACCTCTAAAGTTCAGCTGTCAATATTGGAGTCACCAGCCTCTGCTGCTCTGAGGTACGTGGTATTGCAGTGTACCGTAGGAGACTCATTCCATCAATGTCTTTCACACATTTGGAACATGATCTGCCTCATTGTTTCTCTCCTTTTCCATTATCTAATAAAGCACATTGGTGTTACGAACAATAAAAATGTTCCATATTCATGCCATCAAATTTTTGATGAAAATATCATTTGGTTTCAATTTAGATGCTCACTCTATCCTAACAGTAGCAAGTGTATCAATTTTTAATTTTGGGTCTTGTCATTTATGTATCCCCAAAGTATGATTAATGGATCTGCCAAGCACTTGTACCCCACTAGGACTTTAATTTATATTAGCAACAACCTGTTTCCTTATTCCCTTCCACTTTATTACTTCCTAGAGATGGGTGAGATATTTGTTCAGTTCTCAGTTTAATGTAAGATTGCTCAATTTATACCTTCTAGTACTGAATGCAATTAGCATTTGCAAATCTATATACTTCTGAGCTGGTGATGTGATTGTCTTTCTCTGTATCTGACACATACATGTGCACACACATGCTTACATGCATGCATGGAAAAGCATGCATCTGGAAATGACCACAAATGCATCCAGGTCAATTAGATAATGTGCACAGAAATGCATACATTTGGAAAACATGCACCTAAAGTGCATCCATTTTCAGCTTTGTGCACAGAAATATATACAAATATATGTGCAAGGGAAGAAAAAGGAGCTTGTTCTGGAAAATCAAAAATCTTGACGGAATCAAGCTTGACAGTTTTCTCAGATTCCTATTAGCTGTCTGGTCCTTCAGCGTTTCCACTGATAAGTCCATCAAGCTAAGTATTTTTCAGTTTGCTCAGATCTAATACTACTGATACCACTCTTTCAAACCAATATTGTTTGAAAAATGAATATTTCAAACATTCCCTGTGATATTTATTCTGAGTTATGTGATGCACAAGGAGCAACCTTATCTGTAAGGATAGGGAGGTAGGGAATGGGAATGGAGATAGAAGGAATCGAATCGCATAGTTGCATAGTTGAAAGGTTGCCCCATCCACTCTAATACCTGCCAAACCAAGAATCCATAGCTGAAGAATTTGTGAAGAATGGTGATGCAACTTCAGTGTGAAATCTTCCAATGAAGAAGCATCTGCCACAGCCCAATAGCTTTTATCATCAGACGTCATTCCTAAAGTGTTGTCAGAATTCCATGCCCCATGTAATTTGAATCCATGTGTTTTAGTCCTGGTCCTGTAGTATTCCTTCAGATATTTGAAGATGACTATCATATCACCTCTCAATTTTGTCTTTTCATTTTTCATGTAGATTGAGATGTATGCATTGAGCCTACAGTTGCAGGACAGGAATAAATTCAGTAGGTCCCACTTTTCCTCACTTGTCAGTTCAGTGAAGATTATGGACCGGGACTTGGGCAATCTAGGCTAATGTCTTTACTGAACCATGAAACCTGTTGGGTGATCTTGAGCAATTCACCTTTGTTCATTCATTTCATGTCTTTCAAAGTGTTGAAATGAGGGTCAGATGTTCAGGAGATTCATGCATTTCCATTGGAGATCACTGAAGGAAAGGTAGAGTTTGAGCAGAACTACAGCCCTGTTCAGAATTTTTAAACATGAACTCTGTTCACATGAAGAAGGGAAGTAGAAAAGAATTGTCCTAGTGCCACTTTTTCTCCGCTCACTCCATATGGGCTACTCCGTATGGCAGGGCTTTCTCGGTAGTAGCACCTTGTTCATAGAACTGCCATCCATTTAATATCTGGCTGTCTGCTCAATGCATATCTTTCAGGCTCCAGTTAAAATTTATATTTGTACAATCTAAAGGAAAGAAACAGGTGTTTAATTGTTCTTTGCTTTTAATGTCTTTTAGCAGCCACTTGTGGTTTTAGATATTTGTAATTTTTCATGTGTGTGATTTATAAGTTTAGGTTTATGAGTTTTGATATTTGTAATTAGTGGGTCTGATTTTTTTTTAAAATGTTGCTAGCCAGCCTGGTGACTCATGAGGAAATGTGTGATATTTATCAAATAATGATGGTGATGAATATTTATGTTAATATTTATTGCTGCCCTATGTTTAGAGGGTTACAATGTGTAGTGGAGAGCCTCCTCTATCAAGAGGCACTAGCTTGTGTTGCATATCTTTTGTGTATAGTTTGTGTTGAACCGAAATCCTAGCAATGTCAGGGCAGAAACTGATAACCAAGCCAAGAACCACACAAGAGTGTCAAGCAGGTAAGTGGTATTAGATGGTTTGAGGGTAATTTGCTCCGTTCCTGAACAAAAGCTAAAGCAAAATGTACTGCTTATATACAGCCTCATAGCACTTCAAGCACTCTCTGGGCAATTTACAAGTTAATTATGCAGGCTGCACATTGCCTCCCCCTCCCCAGCAAGTTGGGTACTCATTTTACCAACCTTGGAAGGATAAGAAGGCTGAGTTCACCTTGAAGGATTGAACTGGTGAGCACAGTTTTGGCTACAGTACAGCAGTTTAACCACAGTGATTGGGATCCTGTTGTGCTGTGCTACTTGTGCAAGTCCTATTGCAAAAGAGATGCACTTCCTCAATGATTGTGGAAGGGCAGTCTCCCAAATGTATTTGTGCAAACAGGTCCTCCACTTCCATAAGCCTATGTGAGCAATTGGGCTCTCTGACAGGGCACATAACTGTAATTCCTAGCAGATCTCTGGGAGATTACACAACAGTGATCACTGACCTGAAGTTTCCATTGGACCGTTGTTTGTGCAATATGAAGTTTGGTGAACATTCATGAGCACTGAAGGAGAGCTTGCCTGTTATTTTTATAAGACTAGGTGGAAAACTCTTGCCCTTTCGTACTCACCGCTAGCTGCTTTCCAACCACTTTGGCAAGGAGCCATGCTTGTGCAGAAATTGTTACATGGATCCCACTGATCTTAGTCTGTGGTTATTAGTTGACCACTGCTTATACTTAACTGGTATTCAACCAGTTCCACACTTCCCATCATTTTGATTAGATTGATTGTGCTTATTGCTGGCTCTACTATTAGACATACATGACTACCTTTGTCAGTATATATTATGGTGTGAGGAGCACCAGTAAATTCTTGGAGTTGTCTGCCTTTCTGGGTCCCTCAAAAGCAGATGTTCAAGGCAGCCAACTCACTCAACCTAATAGGAGAACTGACCCTGCAGATATTGAAATAGATTGATCATCTGCTGATCAGCCCCTGTATATGGAATTGTAGTAAGAGATGTCACTTAGTCCTTTGTTTCACACAGTTCAGTGTGATGGGGTAGCAGGCTTGCTTAAACCAATCTCACAATCACTTGCTGATGGGTTGTATTTCTCACACACCCATTACAATCTGATTTCCATCTAGCATTCTGTTTGGGAAAGTAGCAGACTTCTCCACATGACCACATTTACATTGGTTTATTAATGTGCATCCACACTTAAAGAACAAAAGAATTGGAGCTTTTAAAATACAGATGTTTGAAGACTTCTGCATGCCTTTTTCCTACCAATGCTCTAAGTACCAACATATACCTTTAATCTTCTTTCTCTCTCTTGATTTACCCATCATTTCCTGCTGCTGTTACTTAATGCATGAGATTTTCCTCTTTTCTTTTTCTGTGCTGTGCTTGGCTGCCTTTTAAAACTTAAAAGTTCCATGGTATATGTTTGATTTCGGCACTGTATGTGTGTGTGGGTGTTGCATGCAGATTACAGAATGTTCTGAAAGAAAGAGAGAGAAAGCAAGGTAGTGCTGAATTTCAGCTGGTTTATTCATGGTTCAAAGTATAAAAAAGTGTGTGGCATATGGAAATTGTATTTTTGATGGCCTATGACTTTCCTTGTGGAGTATTAAACAACAACAACAATGCTGTCTATCTGTGCACTTGAGGAGAAGGGCAGCCATGTTCTCCTGCACAGTATGCTTAATCTCCTAACACTTGTTAATAGTGTCTCTATCCTGGGTATGCAATGATTTTAAGGCTTAATTCTTTTATTCTTATAAATCGATTGTATGATAATACCTTGACCTGCTGAGACTTGTAATCAACTATTTGAAAGGAACCCTTCTAATGTCTGGGTTTTAATCCCACTTTGGTGCCTTTTATTTTTAACGAATATGTCAGCAGGCATTCACAGGTTTGAAAGGATTCTACTATTCAGGGCAGTATTTAAATTATAACCAATGGGTGACCGGGCGGAAATCCAGTCCATGCTTCTTACTGGAAAGCATTAGCTCACATGGGTGGATTTCCAAAATCCAGTTTTTATTTTCTATAATACTTCTTTCGAGACATAATTTCCCCATTTCTCCTCAACCAGAAACTTCTTAAATCAAACCAAACCAAAATTAGAGCTCTTTCTCCCAAGTATTGGTTTAAAGTTCAGAAAATCAAAAGGGTAATCTAATTAAAACAATATTTTTGCCTGCTGTGGGTATATGTTGATGTTTATCTAAAAAGCAATATTGGATTTTAGTGTGCTAAGTTTAAATGTAACTGAGTGGGATTCATATATTTGCTTTTTACATGGAGTGCCTATAAAGAGATTACATACAAGCTTGTAAAGATATATACAGTATATGTATCTTTATATAATCCACAAAGTATATTCTGTAGGAAAAACCTTTTTCAAGATCCAAAAATGAATACGTCCCAAGTGTTTTTCTTGAGATATCCTTGGAAGTTTAATATTGACTATATTTTTTTCCTCAGTCTTGTATATTCTTGAATTGTCTTTTTCCTCCATTTTCTCCGTTCTCAATCCTAGGTCCCCTAACAAAGAAACAGACAGATGATTTAGGTGATAATGAAGGTGCAGAGGACGAAGGTATTTTTTTTCCCCACCAAAATGATTTGCATGACAAGGACCCCCTTGAAAAATCTTTTTTCTCCCCTCTTTTTATTTTTATTTTTTTGACTTCTTGTCTTTTTTTGAAGATTTGTTTTTCAATTCCTATTTTTGATGTGTTTTGTCTTCTTGCTTGTTGTTACATATTTTAATTTTTCTTAAAGAAAGAATGTTGTTAAGTTCTTACCATAACAGTAATTAAAAGAACTGGAGGGCATTTACTTTGATTTCCTTGGAACAGACTATTGCTATGTTGCATCCCACTTTTGACTGAATTTTGTCCATAATAACTAACAAACACTCTTCGGAAACAATCTATCTGTGCACCTTCTTGCATGTTTTCTAACCTCTGTTTTGATATATTTCACAAAATACAATTACAGTGTCTTTTTTTTTTCCTTTTTGTCACCCGCTTATCTCCGTTTAATAAACAGGGGAAGTGTTGTGTTTGAGGTGGAATGGTGATAAATGCTGTTATAAAAGTGTATTCCAAGCTTCAAATCAGCACTGTGACTGGAAGTCTTTTCTTTAGTCTTTTGTTCAAAATGACATCCTGAACTCTGTTCAACGTTAGTCAGATCTGAAGCAGGAAAAGAAGAAATCTAAACCATTACCGTAAGCAACATTATGTAATATGGCACCTTTTAGGTGTCAGCCTACAATACCTGTCAGGCCTAGCCATCACTACCCATGCTGACTGGGAATTATGGGAGCTGTAGTCTAAGACATTCAGTGGATACCAAATTGGAAATGGTCACAGTTTCTGGAATTTATATGGAATCCTATATAGAACATTTGCAATGGGAGCGAAAGACCCATTTTGCAGATATTACAGTGATAAGCAAATTATTTATTTCAGCTTTACACACTGTATAGAGATCTGCAAAGCTCTCCAGAGAATTATGAGAATTTCCTATTGACATCCATTAAATTTTCCTTCAGATTTCCCAGGTTTCTTTGAAACTTCTCTTTCCTTGGTCCCCATCCTACTCTTTCAAAAGTCCACTTTTTCTCTAATACCCTGGGATGCTAACGTACACCTCTATTTGCCCAAAACTGTGATTATTATTTTTTTTTTTGCAGATAGGTTTCACAGCAGTTCTCATGCCTCTCCCCTTGCATTAGCAACTCACCAAGTCTATCCACCTTGCACTGAAACTTAAATGATACCCCATTTTCCCCATCCTCCACAGATAGCAAATTGAAGAGGTTTCCTAGGCTGCAAACTCATCATCAATTAAAGATATTTGTAGAGAGGTGGCCGTGTTAGTCTGTTGCAGCACAACCAATAAAGTCTCCTGTGTCATCATAAAGACTTAACAGCTCCAGCCCAGTCCATTTCTTCAGATATACTGCATGAAGTGCAGCTTCAGTATACAGAAATATTCAAAAATGCAAAAAGGTGGTATCATGTGAAATGTAGTAGAAACACAAAAGGCACCAGTTAGTTAATGGTTGTTAACAGTGATGGTTAAGGGTAATTTTACACTCATCTACGAACCCCTTAATTTAAGTGCCCTTTTTCAGGGAAAAAGGCCATCTTTGGTGGGTAGGGCTACCCTGATTTTCCATTTTTACAGCCTGTTAAATGTAATCCACCCATCAATAAATGTGTTGATTTAGTCTATTGACCACATGACATTCAGAAAAAAGTAGAAAGGAAGAAGAGGTTACATGTTTATAACTAACTATAATATAGCAGTAGAAGAGATAACAGTAACAGGGATCAACTTTATGCAATTAATACCTGTCTCTTTGGTTTAGTATCCAAACTTGCTTTTAAATTATTAAAAGTTGTTACCTCCCAATAACTGTTGCATAACCAACCAATCCTTACTGATCATAGTTTTAGGCCATTACCACGCGGATACCTTCTGCCTTTCTCCTACCTTCCATGTCTGTCATTTCCAAATTGTCTGATGTTTTTAACTCATAACTACCTTTGCTTACATATCTCATAACATGTTGTTAATATTTCTGCCAGCTGGTTAACGTTCAAAGCCATGATGGCACTTCCTTCATTGACAGTGGCACAATCAGATGTTAATAAAAGAATATTGTACTAAAAGGCTGATAAGCACAGTTTTTATTCAATTAGCAACCGGAAAAGCCTGTGTTACTCATAGATAATTTTGAGGAATGGTTTCAAACGTGATCTATTCACACAGCAGACCTTTGTAGTTTTCCTCATTTGCCACATAATTGTTAGGGCAGGCTCTAATAGCTCAACCTCTGTTGGAGTTAATCAGTACCTTTCGTTCTTTGAAAAGCAGAATATTCACACAGATCACATCCAGCTAAGTTGGCAACGACAAAATGGGGAGTAGCTGAAGGCAGTTCATTGGCAAGAACCAAATAAGTTGGATGGTTTTGGTTTTGTTTGTTGATAGATAACTATACTATCCTTTCCATTAAAACTAGGAAAACTAGTGAAATTCATCTGAGCTGGAGTCATTCTCTTATTCCTGAGGCTTGTAAATAGCTTGCAGAGCCGGCCCTACTATTAGACAGAGAGAAGCAACAGCCCAAAATGGAAGATTTTGAGGGATAAGAACAACATTCCTTAATTACTTCTCCTTCCCCCCTCCCCTGGCCATTTATTTCCCTCTTTTATGGCAAACTTAATTCAGTTTTTGAGGTGCATGATATGCTCAAGGTGTCATTTAGCAGTTGCCACTACCACCACCACCTCTGTTAGTTTCTGTGGCTGGGCAAGGATTTGAACCAATGTCTCTTGAGTCCTAGTCTGACACTTAATCCCTTACACCACACTGACCCTATGCCAGTTGCTATAATTGAATTAATAATGAATTGGCAGATTTTACATGTAGAATGAAGGAAAGTGCCATTGTATCCTTTGCTTCAAGCAACAAAATGAGTTCTGCCAGCGCCCAAAACGTGACTCAAAGAAAAGGTGATTTTTCTTTACAGTGGGAATTCTTATAGAGTATAGTGGTGAACAAAATGGGTGCCCCAACACAGATAATGGTCTTTATACCGCTGCTTTTTTTTTAACCAAAAGAAGGCATTTGCACTCTCTGTGACATGGAGAGGACAATTTTGCCACGGTTTGGGTCACTTTTTCCCTGTTTTAGGTCTGAAAGGGTTCCCCATCCCAAAACCCAAATTTATTTCCAGTTTTGAAAAAAGTCACTCTGGACCTAAAATAGTCTGAGGTCCAAAAAATATGTCAAATTCTTCACCATGGCCTCTGCCTGGTGTAAGAGCCTATTTAAATTTTTTAAAAAAGGACAATGGGGGCATATAATGATTTCCACAGCTCATGGGCTATAGAAGTTTACCATCCTGTTCTAAAAATCTGAATCCAGGGTGAACAGAGTGATATTTCTGTCAGCAGTACATGTCATCTCCAGCTGTCAATACTGTTACCAAGCCCAATATCAGAGAGTGTAGCTTCACTACACAGTTATAGTGGTTTGATGGCACTAACTTTCTTGGTTCCATCCTAGAGACTCATGTCATTTGTTATTTAGTAAGTATTTAGAATTGTCTGCTGGAGGCCTCTAGTGCAGTGGCTCCCAACCTTGGGTCCCCAGATGTTCAACTTCCAGAAATCCAGGCCAGCACAGCTAGCAGTGAAGGCTTCTGGGAGTTTTGGTCCAAGAATATCTGAGGATCCAAGGTTTGGAACAACTGCTTTAGAGCATTCACTTGAACTGCCATGCTAGAGTTCTCTAGAATAGATTCCTAAGTGCCTCACCAGACTACAACCCCCAATATCATATGCAATGAAGCAACCATAATTAAAATGGTATCAAATGGCTAAAAGGGGAGTATTGTAAATACACTCCTCAGCTCTCTAACTAGTCTAGTTGCTTTTGTAGTACTGCAAAAGAGTAAAGTTTTTGCTCTGTTGGCGTAGAGCATGATGCCAGGAGCTACTTTTGATGGTGGGAGAGGGAATTGCATCTCACTAGGTAGCTACTGCCCACCTTAAGCTGGGCAGCTCCCAGCTTTAGGGTGTGTGGGCTTTGGGGTGAAAGCCAACAAGCACC